TCCGAGCCAGCTGCCCCGGACGCCTCGGTGCTCCTGGGCAGAAGAGACAGGCTGGGGCCAGGGAATACATCCGCTGTGGGTCACTCTTGACGGAGTTGGGGTTTAGATACTCTAGAGGGAAGGGGGCTGCAGGGACCAGGTGGTCAAAAGAGGGAGAGGCACGCAGCGCGCCGCCCGAGTCTCTTTCCGGTATTGGGCTTCTTCATATCTTTTTTTTTTGAGCCGGATCTCTATTGCTCAAACTCTAGGTAGCCCACGGTAGCCTTCAGAAGGGGCGGGGTGATCTTCCTGCCTCCGCCTCCCAAGGGCTGAGGATTTCCGGCGAGCGTCACCACACCTCTTCAAAAATTCTAATCTTCCCACACCGGGAGTCGAACCCGGGCCGCCTGGGTGAAAACCAGGAATCCTAACCGCTAGACCATGTGGGATGACTACCCTAGCTTGCCTGCTTGCTTAGACCTCTTTCAACACCATCCCGCCCAAAAGGCTCACACTACTTCCTCGACTCCTATCTTTCACAGACATTCTTCTGCTTTTTTTCTGGGTCAGCTTTCTTCCTTCCCGTCCCCAAACACTGGGTCATTAGGGTTAAACTTTCAGCCCACTGTTTGGACCACATGGCCACTTTATAAAGCGAGAGGACTGCTGAGCTACAAATTGCACACAGAGATCCGAATTTCCAGTAGCCTAGTTAGAGTCTGTTTATCTTAACCGGTGTTTTTGGGGGTCTCAGCTCCACCCTGCAGGAACCTCTGTAACTTCTGTCTGGCTGCTCTCGCTGCCTCTTTTCCCTACTAGTCTCTTACTTGGTTTGAAAAAGGTCCTTTGGCTCCACGGGATCATTTCGTGGAGCCCCCAGACACTAATATTACAGCAGGGATTATATCCAGATATCACATCTGAAGTAAACTAATCTTTTTTCTAGACACCAAACTATTGTATTCATCCACCCATCCATTCATATATGCAGACATGCCTTGTATATTTATCTTGCTGGGCATGGTACTGTCATACCTATATTCCCAGTACTCGGGAGGCTGAGGTAGGAGGACCTCTGTAAGTTCGAGGTTTGTCTGGGCTACATATTGAATTCAAGGCCAGCCAGGACTACATAGTGAGACCCTCATAAGACCCATAGCAAACAAAACCAAAACCAAACAAACAAATAAAAGTTTATCTTATATGCAGCTTGTACTATTTACTAAATTCTGTGTGAGGCTGAAGATTCCAAGGTCTGTAAGATCCAGCCTCCACTGAAGGAATGCTTTGCCTGGAAGGAGACAAACATATCAACAAAGACTCATAATGACCTGTCCCCAAAAAGATGGGATGTGTGTGTGTGTGTGTGTGTGTGTGTGTGTGTGTGTGTGAGCAATAGCCACTTCACATTCACATAAAGTAAGGGATGGCAAAGTCTTTGTAGTCACCTTTAGAACTTTCTGGACAGCTACGTGGACAAGGTGAGGACATGTGTTCTGGTGCCTGCCTAGCAGCGTTGGGGCTGTTTAAGCTCGCCTGGTATGCTGAGATTGCAAGCATGTATTGGAGTATAACATTTGTGTGTCCATGAAAGGTGAGTGTGTGTGTGTGTGTGTGTGTGTGTGTGTACACAATGCCTGGGTGCCACCAGACAAGGGGAGGAAGAGAAAAACACCAGAGTTTAGATTAACCTCAAGAGAAAATAAAATTAAATAATAAATAAATAAATAAAATTAAATAGCTTAACCTCAAGGGTCCTTTACTATCCATCCACCTAGCCAGCTATCTGTTTCTATCTGATATTATCATCTTACAGTGCCCTAACCTAAAGTGCTTGCTTAAAGCCAAAAATTTTATTTAAGAAGGAAAAACAAAGATAGAGGCAGAGGAATCAAAATAAACATACGAAATGATGGGGACCTGAGAAATGCATAGAAATAGGATCATCAAGATTAAACTTCTTGTGCTGGGAAAATAGCTTAGTGGCATAAGTGGCTGCCTGGCAAGGGCAAGGTCCTGAGTTTGAGTCCCAATACAGGGGTGGGGTGGGGTTGAACTTCTTGCTTTATTTCTTGGGTGCATATTAGAGATGTCAGACATCTAACTAGATAAGCCAGCCTAGGAACCAGTACCTAGAAACTAGACACTCCTAAAGATGCAGGACCGGTGGTTAGATGGTTTTTATTTTTTTGGCAGTTCTTGAATGGTGCTGGACAGTCTTCCTACCAGGTGACAGGTATGTACACGGAAGATATCTTTAGCTCCTAAAATTCTCCAGCCGGATGCACTGTGCACGTGTGTGTGTGTGTGTGTGTGTGTGTGTGTGCGCCCATACAAGCTCTGCAGCTGAGCTATTCCCTCAGTCTTCAATTTAATCTTTCAATAAAAATACAGTTACTTGGCTTCAAGGTAGGAAAGCATCAAAAAGTAAAATGGAGGAGCTGGGGAAATGGCTCAGTAGAATAAGCGCTTGACTGGTAATTGCAAGGATCTGAGTTCAATCCCCAGTTCCACACACAAAAAAAAGTAAAATGGAAACTCTCTCATCCTATCAAGCTTCTCATCTCCCTCCACAGACAATCACTGTTATTAGTTTTGTATGTATCTTCCCACAAGCAGATTCTCCTTTTCTCCTCTTTCTACACAAATTGTAATATCTGGTACCCAGATCATTTGCCATCAAAGTGGAATTTGTGTGTGTGTGTGTGTGTGTGTGTGTGTGTGTGTGTGTAACAGGGGATTGAACTCAGGTCCTTGTGCTTGCCAGGGAAGCGCTTATTCTACTGCACCATTTCCCCAGCCCCAAAGTGGAAGTTTTGATAGTTAATGTTAACTCTCCCTCGATGAAAATTTTACCAATATATATTTCCATCAACAGTTCCCATCAGGAGCTAGGGAGATCAAAGGAATAAGCGCTTCCCTGGCAAGCTCAAGGACCTGAGTTTGATCCCTGGTTCCACAAACAAACAAAAAAACAAAAAACAAAAACAAAAAACCAAAAATCAATTCCCATCAGCCTCAGCAGTTTTCATAAGCTAATGGGTAAGAATAGAATGCCAGCAAAGCTTTTAATTTTTTTTTTTTTTTTCACAAGGGTGGTTGAATCAATGTTTAAGGGCCATTCACATTTCTGTTTTTAAGCTGTCTTTCTTGTCCTACATGGATTATCCTACAAGGCTGATCCTGGAGCTTCCCAAATACATTACAGTGTCTCTGGAATCTTTGAGAAAATACATAGCTTTATTTAAAAAACAACTTTTGACATCCTTTGAAAATAAAAGAAGTGCCATCTACGAGGTAAAGATATGAAAATACTGTGGGTCTTTTGAAAGAAACTCTCAGCAGACGTAGTAGCAGTTGAAAAGACTCAAGTCAGGTCCCTAGAAATTTATGACACTGTTTAAAGCAGCCTGGCTGAGGTGAAGACAGGCTCATTAGCGTCTCTGTGAAGTTAACATTGCTTTTGCTCCTATAATAAATATTACCCCTGAGTCCAGCCACCCCACCCCCAAAGCACCCTGCTCTTCTCTGGTCTTGAAAGTCAGTGCTTTGAAACACCCTGTCCATGTTGTAAATATCTACCGTGTGGTGTAGACCCCACCTCCTAATGACTCCCAAATGAGGAAGCCATAGCCAGATAGCACACTTTGATAAGGGGAGGTACAGATTGTGGAGGCCGCCCCTGGGGCGCTGACCCCACCTGTTCATGATGATAGCTGGGGGCTCTTTTCTTGTTCTAGTGTCATAAAGCCTTGATTGACTATGGGCCTCAACTAATAGCCAATAACTAGTCTTAAATACTTGTAGCTTAGGTGGGACCCAGCTCAACCCAGCCCAGGACTTTCCTGGGGTGTCTCATCAAGGGTCCACAGTCTCACTGGGGTCCCCAGGTAAACAGCTTGGCACTGGTGGCCAGCAGCTGACAGCACTTGGCTCTCAGCACTTGTTGAGACAGCAGAGTCCCTGACAAAGCACAGCTGCTTTCTACCCCACCCTTCCTCACCCAGCGCAGCCTGCGAATCTGCCTGGGAAACTGGCTGGGCTGGTGTGGCTTCTAATGAGTGGCTGGGTCATGAGGAGGAGGACTTGGGTAGGGAGGGAGGCGGGAGCCCCCAAGGGTTAATTTGCCCACATAATTCTCAGATGACTCAGGTCTCACCTTGTCAAGCATCCTCTTCCTGCCTTTTGCTTCAGCCTGGAGAACCCCAAGACTCAAAATCTGGCCCACTCCTTGGGCCTGGAGGGCTCTGGAAAAGCTCTGGCTCTATGGTCACTCTACTGAGCTGAGCCTCTTCTCAACAATCCCGTTTCCTGCTGTGCTCTCTGTTCTCTTCTCCAGTGTGGCTTCCTCCAGAAATCCTGTGTCACCACCCCTGAGATCAGCTTCTCACTGAGGGCAGACAGTACAGACTGGGGGGTTGGAGGCCAGGAGGACTCCGGGGAGGATTGCTACAAGGTCATGTGTGGGGCTTACATTCCAGGAAACCTTTGCCTAACCTTCCACACCAACCCTCTGTGTGTTCTGGAGGGCAAATGACAGAATCCTAGTTGTCAATTCTGGCCCTTACAATGTCTGCTAGCAGGATATGTGCCATTGGAGCTTTCTTGTCCCCAGGGAGGCCCACCAGCCTTCTGCTAGGTCACCTGCAGGTAGGGTGCCCATAACAGTGCAGTGACCAGCCGTCTTTCCAGCTTGCTCAGTTCCAGCCTAAAGGAGGGGGATTTGCCAAGAATACACATGGAATGGAAGCCAAAGGTGGGCATCTCAGCTCAGCTGTATCCTCAGGGATGCCAGCCCCCAGTCTCCCTGTCTAAACCTAAGCCCCTGCTGGAGTGTGTGTGTGTGTGTGTGTGTGTGTGTGTGTGTAAGGAGAAAGCCAGCAGACATTCAATGGTGCCCTCCTGTTCCCTATTTCTGCCCCAGCCACCCCCTCCGAGCACGTCATCCGCTGCTGCCCAGGACATAGCCAGCACAGCATTCAGCCCAGGTCTCCTCCTGCTGTCCTGCCAGGTGCCACCAATCAGGCCTGCTTCCTCACCAGCAGCACCCAGGGCAGGATGGCAGCTACCACAGCCACCACCGCGATGAGGGTGATGAGCAGGAGAGCCCGTGACCGGCAGCAGAAAGAACGGGCAGCTCTGGGGGCCGGGGACACCTCCGAGAGCTCGGCCAGGCTGCGCCGCGGAAGCACACTGTCCTGCTCCCCCAGGGGCATTCCATGGCGACTAATGAGGAAGATCTGCGACTCTCGGGGTAGGCTGGGCAGCAGGTCTAAGGGTAGCTGGGTCCCTTGGCTTGAGGATGACCTCCAGACCGGCTGGGAGATGGCCAGGGGGTTTGTGTGGCCTGAGCGGTCCGGGGAGGGCACGGAGGGCAGGGGCACGGGCAGGCCCACAGGCACAGTCAGGGTCTGGGAGCTCTTGTCCAGCATGGAGGGCCAGCGGGAGCTCTTCTTGCTGAGGAAGGTGACATAGCGGCAGATGGGGCAGACGATGGTCCTCTGCACCTGCCCGTCCACCCGCGTGGAGAGCAAGTACTTGACCAAGCAGTCATGGCAGAACACGTGGCCGCAGCTCAGCGTCCGGCTGGCGCCCTCCAGGTCCCGGAATTTCTCGTAACACACGGGGCACTCGCTGCCCGAGCTGTCTTTGCTCTCCCCTTCAGACATGCCCCTCGGAGAAGGCAGGGCTCAGCTGGGGAGAGACAGAGAAGGGACGTGAAGGTGCGGCCTGTCCCCTCTTCCTGGCCCTGCTGCCTTCCACTCTCCCCACCCCCTACCCAGCCTCCCTGCCTGCGCTTTGCCTTCTTCTCTTGTGTTGTTTTCTCTCTACTTCTGGGGTGCTTTTCCTTCTTGTGCCTGAATTGGACCACGGACCAAGATCCAGTGCCTAAGACCCTCCCGACAGCTGCGGGGGGGGGGGGGGGAGGCCCCCAGCCCCCAGCCCGCGGGCATGGAAGGAAGTGTGCGGGTGCACCTGAAACACCCGATGCCTCGCCTCGAGCAAGGCACAAGCTCACGCTGAGGTCACTGCCTCGCCTCTTCCGGGTTCGGAACCTGAGCCGAGGCAGGAAGGCCCAGGACAAAGAGGAAGCCAAGAACACGCACCATCAGCCACAGTGCGGTCCTCGGGCTGGGCCTGCACTCGAAGGGACCATGTTTCGGAAAACTCTGCTGTCCCTCAGCCTCCTTCCTCAGCCCGGTGGACTGATTCATGCGATTTCCTCCAGCCACTGGAGCACATTCCTCTGCGCTAAGCATGGCTATAAAACAATGACGTCTTAAAAATAAAGCTCGGAACTTACAAATGCACATGGCTGCGGGCCCACCTGCAGTCACACACCCACCATGCCCGGCCCGGTCATTCTTCAGATTCTTTTTATAGGGCTGCTGGGGGCAGAGAACCTTCTGATTAACCTAGGTAAGGCAGATTCTCAGATCCTCCAAGGAGCTGTCTTATGTTTTGGAGATGGCCACAACAGTCAGGGGGAACTGAGAACGCTGAGAAAATAAAGGAGTGATCGGGTGGTATGCTAGTGTTTGATTCGAAGGTCTGGAGTCGCAGGGACAGTAGATTTTCAACCTAAACCTGGCAGCAAAGGAGAGACTGTCGAGGGGGACGATCCTAGCAGAAATGCCAAGAATTCTGCAGGGGACACCTCCATGGATGTGTGGTCAGGCCCAAGTGCAGGCTTATGTACAACAGTCTCTTCAGAAGGAATCCTACATTTTTCCATCAATGACAGACAAAAGACCACTGACAAAAATAGGCTGGGTGGCAGCTCCCAGATCTGACACATGACATGATGGGAACAGCATTAGCTACCAGGAAGGGCAAACTATAAAGATCACAAGTTGTTTAGAACATCTCCTCTCTTTTGGCTTGCTTCCAAGTCTGTTTTGTCAAGTTGAAAATATGCTCTAAGGGGAAAAATATGTGGAGGTGGTGATAAGAATCCTAGGACCATGAAGGAAGTCCCAAGACCTTTGCACCAGTCTCCAGCTTTGGTCGCTGACATGGTCACCGTGGCTCCTCATGTGTGATTGAGGTGGTCAGAACTCAGATGGCGGAGCGGGGTTCAAATCCCCATGCTGCTGTCTGTGTAATGCTCATCAAGTTATTGGTCCCTGAATCTCAGTTTCCCGTCTGTAAAATGAGGCTGAAAGAATGGCACCGTAGTAATGGTATCCAGACTCGTGGAGATAGTGAGTTCATGCGATGGAAGAGTGTGACACACAATAAGTGTCCTTGGGAAGGCAGGCCAAGTCCTCTCTCCCCCTCCTTGCTTTGTGTCTTGTCTAAAAAGTCATACCCACTTGATGGACAGCAGCTCATCTCATTGCAACTGAACAAGATGACAGTAGATTAGGCAAATGATGGACAATAAATAAAAATTAAGATGATGACTCTAGGGATTCTCTGGTTTCATTCCAGAACACACTTGCAGACATCTAACTAAATATAGTTATTATCAGGGGACCATGATATTCTTAAGCCAGCCAACTGCTAACATTCCCTTCATTTTATAATTCCCCACTAGTGTATGGTATAATTCCATCCATTCATCCATCCATCCATCCACCCACCCACCCATCTATCCATCCATCCATCCATCCATCCATCCATCCATCCATCCATCCATCCATCCAGATATTCAACAAATATTTACTGAGCACTGCTATTTACTAAGTACTGAGTTGACAACACTGGGAATAAGCACTGATTGGAAAGCCCTTTGAGAAATTTTAGAGCCTACAGGATATTTATAAATTTTCTTGAAAAAGATTTTTTAAAGGAATGATTGGCAACCAATAGCTTAAGTTGTTTGAGTAACTGAAAGGTGGGGATCAAGGAAGGCAAAAGAATAAGAGCAAAAAAGAGAATATTGTGGACGAGGAACTTCCTATGAGCATTAGGTTCAGTGTCTTAGTCTTATAGAAGAATATTACTGATTTAGGACTAGAGAGGAGGAATGATTTATTCAAGGTCACTTGCTTTGTGTGTGTGTATGTGTGTGAGTACCAGGAATCAAACTCAGGCCCTCATGCTTGCCAGGCAGGTACTGTGCTGTGGAGCTATATGCCTGGCCCTCAAGCTCATTTGGGAAGGTGATGGGAGGGAAGATGGAGTGGGGAGGCAAAAGACAGGAGAGGGAGAGGGGGAGAATTCTGTAGCTGACAAAGAGAACGTTATTAAGATCAATTGGTAGATGGGGTGCTCATTCAGGAACCATGGTCCTTATGATCAGCAAAGGAGGAAAAGAGGTTTGATTTTTTGAGACAGGTTCTTGCTTTGTAGTTGAGGCTGGCATTGAACTCACTATATAGCTTAGGCTGGCCTTGAACTTGCTGCTATCCTCCTGCTTCAGAGAGGTTTGACTTCTCATCTGAGTTCTAGGAAGATAGGGGTTTAAGGAATGCAAAAGACATCCCAGCCCCACACTGATGGCCTCTTCCTGCTAAAACCTTTTAATTTTATGTGGTTAGGAGCACCATGCTGTTCATACCTGCACCCTGCCACCTTCCTCCCCGCTTCCTCGTCCTCCCTGTCTTGTTCCTGACCCTCCCTTCCTTGCGTCTTTGCCTTTCTCTTGGTTCCACGCTCTGTCCATCCTTGAACTCCTCTGATGGGCTTGTTTCTGTGTTGAGAGCTGGCATTTGTGACAGACAGCAGCAGCAGAAATGTTCTAGTTTAGTTTTGGCACAAACTATTTAAATTAGGATAGCAGGTAGGATATGCTAAAGGCATCCCCATTGGTGCCTCAGGAAACTGGGGGGAGAGGGTGACTAGACAGCCTTCCCAGCCCAGTGCGACCACTGTTGAGCTCATAATAAATAATTATAACAGCAACCATTTATTGAACACTAATTATGTGCTTGGCACTTTGTAGCCCTCCCTCCTTGAATCCTGACAACAACTTTGGGAGGTAGGCATTATCTCCATTTTACAGAGAGGAACCGATCTCAGGACTTAAGTGAAATAGCATGTTCAATTCTCACTGCTAGCATAGGCATACTCAGGACTAAGCCCATCTCAGTCTGACTGTACGAAGTCTAGGCTATACGCCACTACCTCGAATGGATGGCCTCCAGGGAGGGTTTTCCAGACTCTGGTCAAAGAAGTAAACGAAGAAGTGTGGATGAAAAAGTCACTACCCAAACCTCCCTCCTCAGAGTGGCTCTACACAGTCCTGGCCCTCTGGTCATTTATAAGGCAGGGAGAAGACAACAGCTAGCTCAAGAGAGGCAACCTTACGAAATCCTCATGTCCAGCTTCCTCCACTGGAGCAGCTCATCTTAAGGATGGGAAAGGGGGAATAGTTGTCACCAGCCCAGGGAAACCATTCTTATCCAGAGACATTTCTAGGCACCTAGGGTTCCCTCCCAGATCCCTGATACAAGCCCTGTACTTTCAGCTCCGGCTGCCTCCCCAACCCACCCACAAACATCTCTCCCTCCAGTCTTCCCTCCCTTCCTCCCTTCTGTCTGTCTGTCTGTCCATCTCTCTGTCTCTGTCTGTCTGTCTGTCTGTCTCTGACACACACACACACACACACACACACACACACACACACCCCTCTCTACATCATTCCAGCTTCAGCCTCAAATGCTGCCACACTCCTTCGCCCCCTTCTAGCCAGGTCCCCAGACTCACCACAGCTGGGACCTGAGGCAGTAGCATCCGTCTTTCTATCTGGGGCCTCCTCCGAGCAGATGGGAGCCACCCAGAGGCGCAGCACGATCTCCTCCTGCTGCTGCTGTCACCATGCCGGCCAGGGAGGCATTTCCTAATAACTGAGCAGGCTGGGAGGACAGCGCAGGGAAGTGAATGCTGCCCAACCCGTTTGGGGCCAGGAGGCTCTGCGGCATTGCCTAGGGGTTGGGCAGTGCTGGCATCAGGTGACCCAATGAGGATGCTAGCAGATGAGCCCCAGGCCTGAGTCAGAGGGTCTCTAAGGGAGCAGGGGCCTAGGTGCCTTTGACTGACACTCTGGGGGGATGTGTCTCCCCATATCAACATCAGGAATACCCCATGCAAGTCTTTCCTATGCTTTGGGGCCATTTCAGCGACCCCCCCCCCCCCATCACCACTCCATGCACAAGGTGAAGGGGTCAACAGGTCAACCCCAGGAAAGTATGACACCCCAAGTCTCATACTAACATGTGCAGTGTGTCTACCTGCATCTCAGCATTCACCAAACACTCAAAGGGGCTCAGAGTGCCCTAAACCAATCACCAGAAGTACAAAGGAGCAGAAGTTGGCCTCTAATGTTCTGCAGCACAGTAGGACAAGTGTGGTTAACAACAATTAATTGCCTATTTAAAAATAGGTGGTAGATTTTTAAATGCTCCCAACATAAGAGATTACAGATGTCTGAGGTGACAGATATGCTGGTTACTTTGGTCCAATCATTACACATTACATGCATGTTTGAAACACAATATAGGGGCTGGGGAGAATAAGCGCTTGCCTGGCAAGCACAAGAGCCTGAGTTCAATCCCCGGTTCTGCCAAAAACAACAACAACAAAACAAAACCACCATACAAACACTTACAAATTACTGTGTATCAGTTATAAATTTTAAAAATATTTTAAGAAATGAAGCAAAGTAACACAAAGGAAGAACATACACATAGAGGCTTCTTGACACCGTGTGAGATAGAGGCAGGTTTTAGAACAGCCTACACTACACAGTTATATCCATGGAAGTGATGTTAACATCCATGGTATTAACACATGATAAAATTTATAAAGAAAATCTGGAAAAAGACACATCAAGTTGAATTTTTTTTGTGTTCTTTTTTTTTTTTTTGCGGAACTGGGGATTGAACTCAGACCCTTGTACTTGCTAGTGAAGCGCTTATTCCACTGAGCCATCTCCCCAGCCCCTTTTTTTATGTTTTTGGAGACAGGGTTTCACCATGTAGTTCAGGCTGGCCTTGAACTCAGTGATCCTTCTGCCTCAGCCTCCCAAGTGCTGGGATTACAGATAGGTGCCACCATGTGTGGCTCAAACTGTTAATTGTAATTACCTCCGAAGGGACTTTGTGTGATGTTTGAATTTCTACTCTGAATGTGTTTCTTTTGTGATCAGGGAAAAATAACAAGAATAAGGAGCTGGGGGTGTGGAGCACACTTGTAATCCCAGCACTTGGAAGGCTGAGGCAGGAAGATTGCTGTGAGCTTGACGCCAGCCCTGGCTACATAGTGACTTTAAGGCCAAGTTGAACTATACAGGGAGACTGTTTAAAAAAATAACAAAAAAGGAAGTGAGGGAAACTAGAAATAATTTGGGGATATTTTTTTCCTTTCCTCTCAGGAGACCCCCAACAAGCCAGTTTTCTTCCAGAAAAAGTTGGTTCCCACATGCAAGGCTCAGCCAAACATGAGTGACCCCAAGGACAACCATTCTGTTTCATCAACTACGGCACTGGCTCTGTGGGTGCCTTACACTAAGGGCTGCTTAAGTCACTCAGGGCGAATGCATCAGGATGCCTCATACAAGGACCCAGGTAAGGATGGGTAGGAGAGAGTTCCAGGTAGCCTTATATTTAGCAAATAAAAATGCAGTATGCCTAGGTAAACTTGAACATCAGATCGACAGCAAGTGGTTTCTCAGTAAGGGTATCCATTTGGGACACACTTATACTAAAAAACCATTTACTGTCTGTCTGAAACTCCAGTGCCCTAGTACCTCGGGTCTCAGAGGGACCCCCAGATCTCTCTCCTTCTATCAGTACGTCCAGGGTCCAATGCAAAGTTCTCAGCTCCTTAGCAGGGTGGCTCATGACTCAAGCCTAGGGCCTTCTGGGAATTCTTCAAAGGCAACCCCAAGTATCTTAGAATCAATCCCCACTGTATCCCCTAAGCAGGGGACTGAACCAGGCCAGGCCATCCTCAGACTGAGACTTACAAGATGTGATCTGTGGAGTGAGAAGGTTTTGTTTGTTTGTTTTGCCTTTTTTTTTTTTTTTTTTTGAGACAGGGTCTCACTGTGTAGCACAGGATGGCCTAAACTCCCAGAAATCCTCCTCCCTCAGCCTCTGGAGATGAAATTCTTTTTTTTTTTTTTTTGCAGAACCAGGGATTGAACTCAGGCCCTCGCGCTTGCCGGGGAAGCGCTTATTCCACTGAGCCATCTCCCCAGCCCCTAAGAACTGAGCTAAGGGGCAGGCCCCCTGAAGTTCTTAATCTCCGAAGAATAGAACTTTTCTAGTGGCCTTGCCATGAAGCTTGCCTTTGAAGACTTTCTCGCTTGCTTGTTTGCTTGCTTGCTTGATTTTTTTTTTTTTTTGGTCTGAGACAGGGTTTCACTATGCAGTTCAGGCTGGCCTTGAACTCACTTTGTAGCCTAGGCTGCCTGCAAACTCACAGTCATCCTCCTGCCTCAGCCTGAGTTCTAGGATTACAGGTGTGCATCACCATGCCTGGCAAAGATTCTCTTTTATACATAGATATTTATTATTACTGTATAGCTTGTCATTGTTTGTGCTCTAAAATAAGAATTTTATTTTGAAAATTGCATAGAGATAACTATGTGTACACACGTGCACACACTTAACTAAGGGAGTAAATCAAACCATCGAGAGACAACTTGGTTTGGATATACTTCTCAGGTTGGCTCTCGTCACTTAGTAAGTTCCTCAGAGAGTGGGATGGAGGATTGTTGAGTTTGGCAGGCGGCGGGAATTGGTCATCAGGAAAGGCAGAGAGCGCAGGTATGACAGCCAGGCGGCTCTGTACGAGAGGATTTGATAGCAGAAAGCTCTGGGAAGTTAAGAGCAGAGCCTACGTGTTCACGAGTGCCCTGTGTGTGTTCATAGGTGGTGGTGACTAAAAAGAAAACACCACAGCTCTTTGGGCAAATTACTTACTCCCTCTGTGCCTCAACTGCTGCATCTGTAAAAAGGGGGCTAACAGTACCTGCTCTGAGGATGGCTGTGGCAATAAAAAGAATAGATACAAAAGAATGTGCCTGGAGTCACACCGGTGTACACGCCAGCCCCTCATGGCGTTATCTGCTGTCATTGTCCTCATCACCATCATCTCACTGTTATGGCAAAAAGAGAAGGGATGAGGAAAAAAACAGGTGAGAAGAGGATATGAACACCTTCTAATTCGAGGCTAACCTGGGCCTGCCATCGTGAATAAGATGTCTGTGGCAAATATACCGTCTCATTTGAGAATGGCCTGCCCTTTTTGGTAGAAATAGGTACAGACTGAATTATGGGAGAAGTTTCCTGCTCTAGGGGGATGGGACCAGAAGTCTCTCCCTGGCCAGGCATGTCCCATTCTGAGACCATGTCAGAAGCTGTCCTGAGTTCAGTCCCCAGTACAAAAAAAAAAAAAAAATCATTGGAAAGACTCTTTCTTTCTTTTTTCTTTTCTCCCTTTCCCTCCCTCTCCCTCCCTCCCTCCCTCCCTCCCTCTTTCCTTCTTTTTTTGGTGACAGCAGGGAGCTTTGGATGAGGACAGAGTCCCAGCTGAGGTTGGCTGACTTCTGACTGAATGAGGCACAGTTTCTTCACAGTATAAGTAGCTGGACCATGACAGGAGTTCCCAAATGCCAGAATCACCTGGATAATTGCTTAAAAAATAAACTTCCAGGCCTCCATGAGGGATTTAGCCAGTGCTGAGAGGGGCTAAGGAAGCTGTATTCTATATTTATTTTTAAAATGGGGGCCATAACTCAGTGGTAGAATGCTTGCCTTGAATGCTCAAGTCTCTGAGACCAATTTTCATTAACACACACACACACACACACACACACACACACAGGATTAACAAATCAGATAGATTAATGGATGGATCACTGATTGATAGATGTAATTATGCTACTTGCGGATGGGGAAATATAAGTTGTAGATATTTAGATTATCAGTCTGAAATTCAACTTTGCAGTATCTTTGGAAATTTTCCTAAGAAATTTTGGATAAACTATCTTTTCTTTCTTTCTTTCTTTCTTTCTTTCTTTCTTTCTTTCTTTCTTTCTTTCTTTCTTTTTCTCTCTTTTCTTTCTTTCATAGTATATGGATCAGACTGAATATTCTGCATGCCAGGGGAATGTGCTACCACTGAGCTACATCCCCAGTCATCGTTTTTTAAAATAAGTAGTATGTTCAGGTGACTCAAAGATGGGAAGGCCTTAAAGGCCCTGCAGTACCCGTGGTCTGCTCTCCCTGCCCCTTACCTACCCGTTTCCTGTGTGTCCTTTAAACGGCAGCCATCCTGTGGGCTAGGATATAGCTCACAGTAATCACATGACCTTAGCGTGTGTAAAGCCCCAGGTCCAATACTCAGCACCAGAAAAGTTAAAAAGAAGAGAAAAACCCCCATCCCTTTCATAACATGTGCTTTTAAAGAAATTGCAAGTGTTGACATAGGACATGGAGAAATTGGACCCCTTGTGCCCTGCTGGTGGGAACATGAAATGATAGGGCTTCCGGGAAGCAGAACTGCTGGATCTTCAAAAGCTGAAGCACAGAATTACCACAGGATCCAGCACTACTTCCATTCCTGGGTATGTACTCAAAAGATGTGGCAGCAAGAATATATAATATATATATATATATATATATATATATATATAATTTTATATTTTATGCCAGGAAGATAGTTTAGTAGAATAAGTGCTTGCCTGGCAAGCACAGGGTCCTGAGTTCAATCCCCAGTACCGAAACAAAAAAAAGAAAAAGAAAAAAGAATTCAAATATTTGTTTTGTGGTCATAGCCACATCATTCACAATAGCTAAAAGGTGGAAGCAACCCAAGTGTCCACAGATGGGTGAAGCAAGAAACAAGATACAGCTGGGCATGGTGGTGCACACCTGCAAGCCCAGCCCCCAGAAGGCTGAGGCAGGAGGATCACTACAAGTTCCAGGCCAGATGGCCTACACAGGGAGACCCTGTCTCAAAACAAATCAAAACCATGATACAATACATACACACAAGAAATATTATTCAGATTTAAAAAGAAAGAAAATCTAGAGGCCCAGTTTGAGGTCAGCCTAGATTATGCAGTGAATTCAAGCACAACTTAGACTGATACATAATGAGACTTTGTCGCAATTAAAACAATATAAAAACAAAACCAAAAATCTGGAAAAATGAAAAAAAAATTGACACATGTTAAAATATGATAGAGGGCCGGCCAGATAGCTCAGCAGATTAAAACACCTGTTTAGGCAGATAAATGGACTGGGGTTTGATCCCCAGTGTGCTGTGCCTGCCCTGCCCCCTGCACTCTGAGACAGTGATTGAGACATGGTGTGGTGGCACGTTCCTGTCATCCCAGCACTTGGGAGGCTGAAAACAGGAAGATTACTACGAGTCCAATCTGTGTAGTGTGACTCTGTACTAAATACATAGAAATACATATATATATGATTTTTTTTTTTTTTGGAACCAGGGATTGAACTCAGGCCCTTGCGCTTACCAGGCAAGTGCTTATTCCACTGAGCCATCTCCCCAGCCCCACATGGATGAATCTTGAGAACATTATGTTAAGTGAAATAGGTTGGTCCCTGAGACAAATATTGTAGGAATCTCTGACCTCAGAAACTGCTGGGGTTCAGGTCACTTGGAGATGAGCAGGGCAGAGGATGACCAGGGGTTAATGTGGTATCTTCTCCCGGAAAGTGGGGTCCCCGATGCTTCTGGCTCTTCTATTCTGGCAGAGGGGCTCAGCAGCCAGCACAGTGACATGCTGCAGCTCTCTACATCATCTTCTTGTCCTGTGGGGAGCAGTGGGACCAGCAGGTAGGGGCCCCCCTGTTAGGCTGGGATCATTGATGCCATTTGGAATCCTAGGCCAGGGCCAGTAGTTTCATAAAAGTAAAAGTGACTTACCCCAAATACTGAAGGCAGAGAGAGATGGAGGTTGGGGAACAAACATCAGGTTAGAATCTGCAAGCCCAGCTCAGAGCAGCAAAAAGCAGCAGAGAGAAGACCAAGTGGGAAACAGGAATGGGAAGGGAGAGGGTGTGAGCTTACAGATGAAAGCCAACTTTTGCTAGGACAAAGGCTCTTTGTCTTTTTGTTTGTTTGTTTGTTTGTTTTTAAGACAGCCTCTCATGTAGTTCAGGCTGGCATTGAACGCTATGTAGTCCAGGTTGGCCTGGAACTCACAGTGATCCTCCTACCTCAATCTCTCTATCCTGGGGTTACAGGCATGGGCCACCATACCCGGCAGGCTCTTTGTATTTTAACTGCTGTCCATGACAAAACATCTGACCCTGGTTTTCATTAGCTAAATACGCTCTCGTGGGCATGCCCAGATTGCTGACCAGCACCAGGATATGTGAAATCTGCCGTCCTGAGTGCCCAGTCAGCCAGAGGAGGCTGGCTCCAGTCCTGGCTCTGATGAGGGCAGTGATGCCAAGAAGGCAGGACCATGGGGGAGCTGGCTGCACCCCCGTGCATGCTTGTGATCTGCGCTTAAGCAATGCCCAAGAAGCAAGAGTTGGGGAACCTCCTGGCTGTGAATGCGTGTGTGGTTGGACTCCTCAATCCTCTGCCTGCCCCATAGGCTCTTCTTGGAGTCTGGACCGACCTGGTGAATGTGGGTGGAAGGGAAGGCAGAAGGCCGCAGATGTGTGGAGTAGAAGATGGCCCGGCACCTGGCGAAGCCTGTAGAAGCCAGGAGGGGAGAAGGGCTTCTTCAGTGGTCCCAAGAGTGCCCTGCTCACTTCCCTGCCAACACCCAGCCCTGTCTAGCAGCTGAGGCCTCCTGGGTGAGGCCACAGTCCCCACAGTGAGGCCAGGGGAGGAGCCTGTTCTGGGACACAGTCCTTACTGTGTCCCCACCCGTGTGCAGGTGTTGGCCCTGGCCTGACTTGTTCTGGCCAGCTCAAGGGCCCGTTTTGGTTTTCAGTTCCGGCACACCCCCATGAATTCCACAGCTTATCGCTCAGCACCCCAAGATTGCCCACACTGCTGAGATATCCCTCCATAGCCTGGCCACTTTGTTCGACCCTTGTGAATGTTCCCCCTTTGTTATAGAGTTCTGGGCTGTTGCTAGCACAGAAGACAGAAAGAAGTCCCTCTCTCTAAGAGGAAAATTGCAAAAAGTCCCCCTCTGGCGGCACATAGCCTGGTAGGCAGAGGAAGTGCAGGTTCACACCCCCAACTGCCCCTCCTTGGCCCTGAGCCACCTTAGCCCAACTCCCGGAACTGTGTGCAGCAGCCACAGGTCTCAGCCATTCCTTCATCTCACTCTGAAGCCTCTGTGGCTTCCGACTGCCTGCAGGACAAAGTCCGTGCTCCATATGCACACAAAAACCCCATCTCTCCCTCCCTGCTGAGAGCTCTATGCCATGCAGTATGGCCACAGAGCTGGCTTTCAGCTTGGGACCCTTGAAAGTTTGGGGCTTTAAGACCTCTGTGATTTTTTGTATTGATTGTATTTGATTGATTGTTTATTTCCTAGTACTTCATCAACTCCTCCCTGGCTTCTCCTCTCCATTTTTAAAGACCAAATTGAGGGGATCAAATTCAACTCATTGCTGCAGACCCAGCCTAGGTGCCTGGGGTTACTGGAGCTCAAGCAGGAATGTGAGCTTGATGAAGACCCTGGACTTCTCTGGGGCGAAGGGGAACCCGGGCAACCCAGCCATCTGAACACCGTGGGAGTCCATGCCAAAATTCCGTCCTCGAGGTCATAACGCGCTGTAGAGCTTCAGGATGGCTGGAGACGGGATTCAAGCCCACAATGTGCAGAGGTTTCTTTTTGGCCACTGTACAAAGATGTTCACTTCAAAGGCTGGCTCTATGCACACAAGAGCAGGGGTGGATACAGGCTTTAGAAGCAGAAAAGACGTTCCCTGAGAGGGGACATCCCAGTGTATCGGTGGGTCTTCCTAGTTGTTGAACTAAGTACCTCATGTACAACTGTTTAACTTTTTACAAACTGAGCCACATTTTAAACTTAAGGACCTACTTCAGCCTTATCCTAAGCATCCATACTTAAAAAATATCATACCTTAAAAATGCCTTAAATATAACCCGGCGTGGGGGACTCCATGCCTGTTACCCCATCTTCTTGGGAGGTGAAGTGGGAGGTGTATTAATTTAAAGCCACCCTGGCCAGCCTTGCCCCAACAACAACAGCCAAAGGAGGTAAGAGAGAGAGTATGCAAGACAAGTATCTTTAATATATATCACATGTACTATACAGATATATAGATTTATAAATTTTTAATATATATAATTTTTAAATTTTATTTTTTTAAGAAGAGGACTTAGGGGTCTATGTTGCCCAGGCTAGACTGCAACTCCTGCGCCCAAGGGATCTTTCCGCCTCAGCCTCCCCTGTGTTGGGACTACAGATGTGTGCCAATACCTCTAATTATATTTTTAATGTGTGCCACCTAAAGCCACGGTGCGACAGTCCTTGGCCTACACAGACTTGGATGAGTGTCTGCAGGCTGAGCTGGCTTGGGCTCACAGAACCGGAAAGTTGCAACTCCAGGACTTTCTTTCTGTGGCTGAATCCACAGACCCAGTTTACACAGTCGAACTAAGAGAGCCCTTCTGACGGGAAGCTATCGCTGGGCTCAAACAAAAGAATCCCGTGGAAAAGGAAGAATAGCCGGGGCTGGAGCAGACACCAGCAAGAAGCTGAGCGCCGCGGCGGGGCGGGGCGGGGGCGGCACGGAGCAGCGCGGGGCTGAGTCACCGCCCAGCTGCGCCCTTCCCGGCGCCGCCCGCCCGCGTGGCGCTGCTTCCCGAGCGCTCTCCGGCCTCGGGGACCCCGGCGCCCCCGAGTCAAAGGCGCGGACCTGTAAAGCGAGCAGCTGCAGGTGCAGAGGCCCTGGGCGGAGGGAAGGAATGCCCAGGAGAAGGCGCCGCGGGAGGTTTGTTCTCAGGAGCGCGGGTGCCCGAGGTCAGCCGGGCGCTTTGCATGGGCACTGGGGGCTCAGGCTTGAGCCAGAGCTTGAATTCTCCCTGACAGCTGAGTGGCTTTGATTCTGAAGACATGTAAGGCCAGGGCCCAGGCCAGTGTTCAAAGTGGAAAAAAAAAAGTGTATTCCCCCGCCCCCCCCCCCCATAAACCAGCACCACTATTGAAAAGACATGGACAATTCACAGAAGCGTATGAACAAAATAAAAACAGATAAGCGCTATTAATATTTTGGTGTTTATTGTTCCAGGATATGTAACAAGACGTAACTACCTATAATGCATAGTTTAAAATAATTATATGTTGTATGTGTAAGCACAATACATAATTATCTTTTACCACGAGTGGGATCATGTTGTATGCATTCTTGTAGGACCTGGGGTTTTTTAGTTGTAATCTGGTGATCCCAATAAACATTCCTTATACCCTCGTTTGAATTTTTATTCTTTATTTATTTTTGTGCAGGTGTAACACCAAGCTTCCTGCATGCTAGGCAAGCGCACTACCACTGAGCTCCACCCTGGCCCTCCTTTTCTGCCCCCATTTTAAATGGATGTAGTAATTTACTTACTTAATCTCATGTGGGTTAATAATGATTGTTTCCAAGTTTTCCATATTATACACCATTTCTGCATTAATCTTTTTT